TATTTTATAGCTGAATAGGTAAAATCTCCCATAACTGCTCCTTTATTAATTTAATAACCACATCTGAATTTTTTGTTCTCCATGTTGCTGCCTCTGATCAGCTGCACTCCGACAAATGCATGCCTACAGTTTACTCCTAATATTGAGTTGACTTTAATTTAAAGCTCTAACAGTTCTATGTAAAGAAGTTTCTTCAAAGATACTTCTTTCAATTACCATGCCCCAATAATTTGCTGCTGCTGCTGCTTTACTTATCCACCCACGCATGTTTTGAACTACAAAAGAACTGAAGTGTGCATGTGCATGAGAAAGAGAGAGCTTGGCAATTTAGTATGTGAGGCCTGGTCTACAGTACGTGGTTATTTCAGAATTAGCCGAGTTACTTCGAAATAAAACTGATTCTGTCCACACAACCAAACCAGTTTTTTCAATTTAAAGGGCTCTTTAATTCAATTTCTGTATTGCACCTCAGCAAGTGGAGTAGCGCTAATATCGAGGTTACAGGTACTGTGGACCCAATTTGACGATACTGGCCTCCGGGAGCTATCCCAGAAAGCTCCCTTGTCACCGCTCTGGACAACACTCTGAACTCCGATGCACTAGCCAGGTAGGCAGTAAAAGCCCCAGGAACTTTTGAATTTCCTGTTTGGTCACCACCATCACAGGCGACCATGCGGAGTCCACCATCACAGGCGACCATGTGGAGTCCACCATCACAAGAGACCACACAGTCCCGGATTCGCAGATGAGCTCCAGCATGGTCCGAATGGGAGGTACTGGATCTCATTGCATGTTGGGGAGACAAATCTGTTATGGCAGAACTACATTCCAAAAAAAGAAACGCAAATACATACGCTAAAGTCTCCAGGGCCATGACGGAAAGAGGCTATTCCAGGGACACAGAGCAGTCTTGTATAAAAATCAAGGAGCTCAGGCAAGTGTACCAAAAAGCCAGGGAGGCGAACAGGCGCTCTGGGTCACAGTCCCATACGTGCCACTTCTACCGTGAGCTGCATGTAATTATGGGGGGTGACGCCAGCACTACCCAACCACTGTCCATGGACATCTGCAAGGGGGGAGTAGCACGGAGTGAGGAGGATGAGTTTTTGGAGGACGAAGAGGAGGAGGACGGTACACAGGCAGCAAGTGGGGAATCTGTTTTCCTCCCTAGCCAGGAACTATTCTTGACGCTGGAGCCAGTAGCCTCCCGCAACTCCCAAGGCATGTTCCCAGATCATGATCCTGGAGAAGGCACTTCTGGTGAGTGAGAGCTTAATTGGAGCCACGCGGTGGGGGGAAACTCAGCTGCGCTGGGCTGTTCGCGTTTAGTTTAAAGGGCTCATCCCTGCTCAGAGCCTCATCAGAGCCACACGGTGTGTGGGCTGGGGAGGGTGTTGTGTGAAGCGATCATCCCAGAGAGCCCACAGGCCCTCCTTTTATATAGCAAACCCACCAGGCATTGTTTGCTATGGGAAAGGGTGTCCGGCAGTTTGAAAGTACTGAAATGAATGCGGAAGAAGCAGAACCCCACGTGCCCCTAGGGCTTACCATGGCTGCCTGCAAGCTGAATTCTGTTGCCTGGCTGCATGTGATGGCTTATTCACACCAAAGTGGCAGGCAATTCAGTATAAGAAGCAAAATGAGACCTTGTACAGAAAGAACATGTGCTGTGTACTATGAATTGCCTGTTTCACTGAGAAAGAGTGTCCCCTTTGTTCTCTAAAATGTATCTTTTAAAATACTACCCTCCCTTTTTCTCCTCCTGCAGCAGATACAAATGTTTCAACGTGGACCCTGTCTACTCTGTCCCAGAGGCTGATCCAGATTAGAAGGCAGAGAAAACAAACTCGGGACGACATGTTTGCCGAGCTCATGCAGTCCTCCCGCACTGATAGGGCCCAATTGAATGCCTGGAGGCAAACAATTGCGGAGTCGCTTAAAGCATTACATGAATACAAAGAGAGGAGGGATGTGCACGATGAGAGCAGGCAGGATGCTATGGACAAGCTCACGGAGGAGCAAACTGACATGCTCCGCTGTATGGTGGATCTAATACGGGAAAGGCAGCAAGACCACAGACTGCCTCTGCAGTCCCTGTATAACCGCCCTCCCTCTTCCCCAAGTTCCATAGCCTCCTTACCAAGATGCCCAAGAACACGGGGGGAGAGGCTATGCGGACCCACACAGTCAACCCCAGAGGATTGCACAAGCAGCAGAAAGCTGGCATATCCTAAATTTTGATTTGGTTTCTGGACTTGTCCTTCCCTCCTCCTCCACCCCCCTAATCCAATACCCCCCTCTCTCGTCTATCTTCTGATTTTTCTCAATGTTTTGTGCAACAAATAATAAAGAACGTTTTTTTAAACGATTGTGACTTTATTTCCTTTCATATATAGAGGGGTGCCGGTAAATTTAAGAGAAACAAACACAATTGTCACACCGTACCCTGGCCAGTCATGAAACTGATTTTCAAAGCTTCTCTGATGTGCTGCACTCTTCTAATAGCCCTGTTGTCTGGCTGTGCGAAACTGGACACAAGGCGAGTTGCCTCAACCTCCCAACCTGCCATAAATGTCTCCCCCTTACTCTTACAGATATTATGGAGCACACAACAAGCAGCAATTACAATTGGAATATTGGTTGTGCTGAGATCTAACTGAGTCAGTAAACTGCGCCAGCGCACTTTCAAATATCCAAACGCACATTCTACCACCATTCTGCACTTGCTCAGACTATAGTTGAACTGCTCCTTACTACTGTCTAGGGTGCCTGTGTACGGCTTCATGAGCCACGGCATTAAGGGGTAGGCTGGGTCCCCAAGGATAACTATAGGCATTTCAACATCCCCAACAGTAATTTTCTGGTCTGGGAAGTAAGTTCTTTCCTGCAGCTGGTCAAACAAACCAGAGTTCCTGAAGATGCGAGCATCATGCACCTTTCCTGGCCATCCCACGTTGATGTCAGTGAAACGTCCCTTGTGATCCACCAGTGCTTGCAGCACCGTGGAAAAGTACCCCTTGCGGTTTATGTACTGGCTGCCCCGGTGTTCCGGGGCCAAGATAGGGGTATGCGTTCCGTCTATCGCCCCGCTGCAGTTAGGGAACCTCAGCGCATTAAAGCCATCCACAATGGTCTGCACATTTCCCAAAGTCACTACCCTTGATAGCAGCTGGTCAATGATTGTGTTGGCTACTTGCAGCACAGCAGCCCCCACAGTAGATTTGTCCACTCCAAATTGATTCTCGACTGACCGGTAGCTGTCGGGCATTGCAAGCTTCCACAGGGCTATGGCCACTCGCTTCTCAGCTGTGAGGGCTGCTCTCATTTTGACGTCTTTGCGCTTCAGGGCAGGGGACAGCAAGTCACAAAGTTCCATGAAAGTGGCCCTACGCATAAGAAAGTTTTGCAGCCACTGGGAATCATCCCGTACCTGCAACACTATGCGGTCCAACCAGTCTGTGCTTGTTTGCCGGGCCCAGAATCAGCGTTCCACAGCATGAACCTGGCCCAACAACACCACGATCTCCCAATTGCCACATGCTAGGAATGTCTGCGTTCATGTCCTCATCATTATCGTAATTGCGCTGTCAACACTTCCTTGCCCTGTTTTGCAGGTACTGCACATACTGCTGGATAATGCGGGAGGTATTTACAGTGGTCAAAACTGCAGTGGAGATCTGATCGGGCTCCATGGCTATGGTGCCTGCACGGGTAATCCTGGAAAAAGGGCGCGAAATGTAGGAGAGCAGAGTGGCAGCAGAAGAGATGCTGTTCAGTTCACGGTAGCCAAAAAAAGGCTGTAAATGGTTGCCTTCTGTAGCTTTCACGGAGGTGGGAGCCCAGGACAGACAACATGGAGAAGCTCAGAAGTGTGGCAATAGTGGGAGAGCAGAGTTGGCGGCGGAAGCTGTGCTGCTTGGTTCACGATGGCTGAGCAGAGTTGGCAGCAGAAGCATTCGATGAGGAAGAGAAAGAGTAGATAGTAGAGATTACAAAGGAAGATGAGAGGAAATGAGAGGTGGATTCATAGTAGCAGGAGAGCAGCGGTGCACCGTCTGCTGAAAGCAGTGTGCTGTCTGCATGCCAAAAAGGCGCGAAACGATTGTCTGCCATAGCTTTCACGAAGGAAGGAGTGACTGACGACACACACCCAGAAACACCCGCAAGAATGTTTTTGCCCCATCATGCACTGGGAGCTTAACCCAGAATTCCAATGGGTGGCGGGGACTGCAGGAACTGTGGGATAGCTACCCACAGTGCACCGCTCCGACAGTCAATGCTAGCCTTGGTACTGTGGACGCACTCAGCCGAATTCACGCACTTTAGTGGACCGAATGTATAAAATAGCTTCCGAAAATTTGATTAGAATAATTTCGAAATAATTTCATACTGTAGACATACCCTTAGAGTGATCTTAGCACTTTCAACAAGGTGCTGAATTGACAGCCTGGGAGACGGAAGTCTTTAACTCCAGCCCTGTTTTGAGAGAGCTAACTCTACAGGTAAAAAAGCTTAGTTCAGTCTCTGCGACCATTCAGTATTTTGCCTCACCACCTCATTAAAGTTGCCAATTAGTGCTACTTTTCATGTAATCACCTGTCTACGAGTAACTAGACTCAGATTTTGCACAGGCCACTAGACAGTCATCTGATAGTAACAACTTTGATCACTACTAGTCTGTGTTAGATTTGAACCAGTGACCTGGAGGCCCAAGGTTCTGTGTCCTATTATAAATCCTCTGAGCCTTCAGGTCCCTGTTTGTCATTTTTAACAAGAGTATCTGTAGGCTGCTAGCTGTACTATTACAGAACTGTTCTAGATTTCCTTAAATATTTTATTTGGTTTCCTTATGGTTAATGTTTTATTTATAATACCTGTATTTTTACAAATCCATTTGCAGAAGCTGGTTTCTCTGTACTGGAGAGTAACATTCTGATGATAAATATAGAGAAAGTATGTTTAATAAATGCTGATTATATTTGTGTGTTTGTGTGTTTCAGGAAAAAAGTGCCAGTTCAAATGTAAGACTTAAATCTAACAAAGAGGTCCCAGGATTAGTACATCAACCCAGAGCAAAGTAAGTTACACTCCATAATTTTAATAGAAATGAATGCTTATTGAATTAAAACAATACCCCCCAAATACCCAAACTTTGCCCAAGTAAAGGCTGCATTGGGAGCTCCCTAACAACCGAAGGGTCACACCTAGCTTAAGTAAAACAGAGAAGAATGCAACCATCCTCACATTTTTGTTACGGATGGGCGGCCTATTGAGAACTGCTCAGATCAAGCTGGGGCATTGCATGCCAGGATATTTAGTCTCCGTGCATGGCAGTATTAATGATGGAAGTACCTTTGAGACATGCTGTACAATTCCATAGGTATTAGATGAATCAGAGGCTGAACTTTAGCCACCCTTGCAATACCTTTTTCTTGGCTTGATTTTCAAAGATGCAAAACTTTTTTTTCTTGTTGAATAGATTTACCCTGCCACAGCTTACCAGGGTACATAACTACATTATATTTCTCATATGATACATTTGTTTATACACATAAATAAATACACACACCCTAACTAGATGTTATTTACAAAGATTCTGTCCAGTGTTTTGGCTTACTTTGGTAGATAAACAGCATAACAAATTTGGGAATTAAACTACTTCCATTTAAAATGATGATGGTGTTTGTTATATGCTGACAATGTGCTATGTGGCCGTCAGTTTATACAACCCTTAGATTAAAGTTTTCATGCTATTTCCTTTTGAAATCAGTCAGCATTAAACACAGCACTGCCATGCCATATTTACCTCTTGTGACCGTACTAGTGCCAGTATTAATTACTTGTTTCATATCTCAGTCACCATTACATTTTAATCACCAACTGAATTGAAAATAAGAGCTTTTATGGTAGCATAGATTTGGTACTTCACAGTGAAAAGATAAAGCAGTGTTGTTGCATTCAAAGCAGTAAAGGAGACACTGTTCTTTACTAGAGCTAAGAGCCCTACAGGCACAGTATAAACTTAAACTTGCTGCATACAAAGTACATTGTGCAAATTATCACATCATATACCTTTCAAGAGAGTCCTTGAAATATAGGACAGCTTTTTTTTTTTTTTAGTCTAGAAAACAATATAAATGCAAAGAAATTCATTTGGGTGAGAGGGACAACTTGTACCCTTCAACAAGGCAGTACTGCAGAATTTTACTTCACTCAAAGCAGGCTCGTGGATGTAAAGACACGCTTGGGTACAGGAGCACAATGTAGCTCTTCCTCTCTGGCTGCCACTGCTAGCTGGTGGCTATCAGATGGGGTTAAAGGAAAAAAATTACTTTAGTCAGCCATCTGTTCAGCTGCATCTGAGGCAGGAAGAGATTACAGATTTATTTTCTGTGTAATTTGGTTGATCCTTTTTGTTTTCAAGGAGGAGTTTAAAAAGTTCCTACAGAAACCAGACTTACCAAAAGAAGTGTAACTAGATAAGATAATAAACAAGTTCTGTTGTCTTTCTACAAAAATAAATATACTGTTATCTCTTATAACATTAGGCTGTTCTGTAAAACCTGCACTATTTATCCAACATGACCAGATCTTGCCAACACTTACCCACTGACTGGCTTTACTTACAGAATTATTTCCACTGAATTTATGTATACATTTACACAGACATCTTTTCAGGTCTGGGTACCAACATATTAGCTGATCACTTGTTAAATATCAGTTTTTTGTTTTTGTTTTTTTAAATTTATAGATTTAGAAGCAGAAGTAAAACCTTAAAATATCCAATTTTTGATTACAATCGGGTGTTTGTGTATTGGATGGAGAGGGCTGTTCCACTTGAATATTCAAAAATAGTTAAATACTTTTTGTAAAATGTTTGTTTTTAAAAAAAGCCCAACTTGGACCAAATGTTATAAATTGAAACATAAATTGAAGATTTTTTAAAATTATTTGTTGAATTAAATGTACAAGTACAATCTTGGAGATTCCTGCTACATCTAGCAGAACTTGGATTTTACAAGTTAAAGCCCAGATCTTGCGAAGACTTGCTCAGACATTTATCTTCTACATGTGTGATTAATCCCATCAAGTAACTGGAACTTCTCATGTGCATAAATCTCAGGATGGGGACCTTAGGAAGTATAATGAAAGAAATAATCTATTTTGTACTATTGTATCTAGCCATGGAATCCAGATTTTTGTAAAACATTATTTCTCCCTCTATCAACTCATTCCTAACTGGTGGCACACTATGGAATTTATAAAATGCATTCACATCAGGATAGTTTCAGATTTCCCTTGCTGTCTAACACATAAAATATCACAAGAAAAAAGATTATCCAGACATTTCCTTTTGTCAAAAGGATTTTCTTGAAGAGGTATACCCAAGAGTACCATCTTAGATCCTTGGGTAGTTTTCATTCTCTTCCAGTAGTTCATTCATTCTTTGCTATATATATTCCCAGTATTATTGTAATTTTACACCATTCCAGAGAGTATCTATTATGTCAGCATTTTCTGTATTGCATCTCCAACACGAGGGCAATTTTACTGCCAAGTTATGCACTTCTGAAGATAATGGTTTATTACAGTGACAGTTCATACAGACTTTTAATGATAGAAGTATTCTAATAAACTATTTTGAATGATCTTTTTCCCACATAGCAGTAGATAATTTTTTTCCTGTAATTAAATAGTCGTCCTGAAAATTACATCTTTGGTAGGCCCTGAAAGTCTCTTCTTATTGTGTTGGAAGCTGGCACTCTGAGAGTTGTGGAGGCAGACGTGAATTTCAAATGCTCTTTCCTCCTAAGAAAATGTAGTATAACTAGGCTGTCGTGGGTGTTTGCTCATTCTGGTTGTCTCTATCATACTTTGCACGTCAGTTGGGTTATCTGCTGGAGCTAAATTGCTACGTTATCTTATAAATGATGTATCAGAGTTATGTTTCTGTCCACACCAACACACTGTGTGTGCTGTACCTCAAATAGAGAAATTAGTTTGTGACCTATATATGCCCTTACTGAAAACTGGTTGGCAAAGTAGTAAGCCTAATAGTTATAGAAAGCAGATTTGAAGTAATGACATGAACAAACTGTTTTCTTTGGTTTTAAAACTTCGATTATATTCACTTTTTTAAATCCACTCTTTAAAATTCATTCTTGATTAAGTTTCAGAGTAACAGCCGTGTTAGTCTGTATTCGCAAAAAGAAAAGGAGTACTTGTGGCACCTTAGAGACTAACCAATTTATTTGAGCATGAGCTTTTGTGAGCTACAGCTCACTTCATCGGATGCATACCGTGGAAACTGCAGCAGACTTTATATACACACAGAGAATATGAAACAATACCTCCTCCCACCCCACTGTCCTGCTGGTAGTAGCTTATCTAAAGTGATCATCAAGTTGGGCCATTTCCAGCACAAATCCAGGTTTTCTCACCCTCCACCCCCCCCACACACACAAATTCACTCTCCTGCTGGTAATAGCCCATCCAAAGTGACAACTCTCTACACAATGTGCATGATAATCAAGTTGGGCCATTTCCTGCACAAATCCAGGTTCTCTCACTCCCTCACCCCCCTCCAAAAAACACACACACAAACTCACTATCCTGCTGGTAATAGCTCATCCAAAGTGACCACTCTCCCTACAATGTGCATGATAATCAAGGTGGGCCTTGATTATCATGCACATTATCTCCTGCAGGAGAGTGAGTTTGTGTGTGTATGGGGGTGGGGGGGTGAGAAAACCTGAATTTGTGCTGGAAATGGCCCACCTTGATTATCATGCACATTGTAGGGAGAGTGGTCACTTTGGATGAGCTATTACCAGCAGGATAGTGAGTTTGTGTGTGTGTTTTTTGGAGGGGGGTGAGGGGGTGAGAGAACCTGGATTTGTGCAGGAAATGGCCCAACTTGATTATCATGCACATTGTGTAGAGAGTTGTCACTTTGGATGGGCTATTACCAGCAGGAGAGTGAATTTGTGTGTGTGGGGGGGTGGAGGGTGAGAAAACCTGGATTTGTGCTGGAAATGGCCCAACTTGATGATCACTTTAGATAAGCTACTACCAGCAGGACAGTGGGGTGGGAGGAGGTATTGTTTCATATTCTCTGTGTGTATATAAAGTCTGCTGCAGTTTCCACGGTATGCATCCGATGAAGTGAGCTGTAGCTCACAAAAGCTCATGCTCAAATAAATTGGTTAGTCTCTAAGGTGCCACAAGTACTCCTTTTCTTTTTATTCTTGATTAATAAATTGACTTAGATTGTAATTTAACTTCCAGCTTTCCCTCTAAGAACTTCCCTTTCAAACGTATTTTTCATTCAAGGTCCCAGCATGAGCAGAGCACTGTATATGCTCATCCTGATAGCAGATACGGCATACACGCATGGCTTTGTTAGACCATGTCATTGGGATTTGAGTGGGATATTAACTTGTTACAGCTCAAAGGATCATACTGAAAAAGTCAAACCTCGGGACAATCTGGGAGTTGAATTTAACAAGCCGAATCAGCTTTTCATATTATTTAAATAGTGGCATTATCAAACTCCAGTTTCTCTTTAACTGTCTGATACCGTCGTTAAGATCTGCACCCCTTTTCCATTTCTCACTCTTCCTTTATGCTTTGTTCAATACCTGGCATTCCTGCCCTATGCTAATGTGCCAGACACCCCACCAGACCTTCTTTTCATTCAAATCCCACCTGAAAACTCACTTTCCTGTGAGCGCTACAAATAGGCTACCCACATCACTAAAAATGCTCTCATCACCCAATACTTTGTTGTTAAAAGAACAGGAGTACTTGTGGCACCTTAGAGACTAACAAATTTATTAGAGCATAAGCTTTCATGATCCACTTCAAGAAGAAAGATATATACATACAGATAAGTTGGAAGTTGCCACACAAACTGTGAGAGGCTAATTAGTTAAGATGAGCTATAATCAGCAGGAGAAAAAAAACTTTTGTAGTGATAGTCAAGATGGCCCTTCTATGCATCTGATGAAGTGGGCTGTAGCCCACAAAAGCTTATGCTCTAATAAATTTGTTCGTCTCTAACGTGCCCCAAGTATTCCTGTTCTTTTTGCAGATACAGACTAACACGGCTTCTACTCTGAAACCTGCCATTTAGACAGTTGACAAGAAGGTGTGAGGATACTTAACTTTAGGGAAATAGATTCAATATGTGTAATGACCGAGCCACTCCCAGTCTATATTCAAACCCAAGTTAATGGTATCTAGTTTGCATATTAATTCAAGCTCAGCAGTTTCTCATTGGAGTCTGTTTTTGAAGCTTTTCTTTTGCAAAATTGCCACCCTTAAGTCTTTTACTGAGTGGCCAAAGAGATTGAAGTGTTCTCCTACCGGTTTTTGAATGTTATGATTCCTGTTGTCAGATTTGTGTCCATTTATTCTTTTGCGTAAAGACTGTACGGTTTGGCCAATGTACATAGCAGAGGGGCATTTCTGGCACATGATGACGTATATCACATTGGTAGATGTGCAGGTGAATGAGGCCCTGATGGCGTGGCTAATGTGATTAGGTCCTATGATGGTGTCACTTGAATAACTATGTGGACAGAGCTGGCATCGGGCTTTGTTGCAAGGATAGGTTCTTGGGTTAGTGTGTTTGTTGTGTGGTTGCTGGAGAGTATTTGCTTCATGTTGGGGGGCTGTCTGTAAGCAAGGACTGGTCTGTCTCCCAAGATCTGTGAGAGTGAGGGATCATTTTTCAGGATAGGTTTTAAATCTTTGATGATGCACTGGAGAGGATTTAGTTGGGGGCTGAAGGTGACAGCTAGTGGTGTTCTGTTATTTTCTTTGTTGGGCCTGTCCTGTAGTAGGTGACTTCTGGGTACTCTTCTGGCTCTGTCAATCTGTTTTTTCACTTCAGCAGGTGGGTATTGTAGTTTTAAGAGTGCTTGATAGAGATCTTGTAGGTGTTTGTCTCTGTCTGAGGGATTGGAGCAAATGCAGTTGTATCTTAGAGCTTGACTGTAGACAATAGATCATGTGGCGTGTCCTGGATGGAAGCTGGAGGCATGTAGGTAAGTATAGCAGTCAGTAGGTTTCTGGTGTAGGATGGTGTTTATGTGATCATCGCTTATTAGTACAGTAGTGTCCAGGAAATGGACCGCTTTTGTGGATTGGTCTAGGCCGAGGTTGATGGTGGGATGGAAATTGTTGAAATCATGGTGCAATTCCTCAACGGCTTCTTTTCCATGGGTCCAGATGATGAAAATGTCATCAAAGTAGCGCAAGTAGAGTAAGGGCGTTAGGGGACGAGAGCTAAGGAAGCATTGTTCTAAGTCAGCCATAAAAATGTTGGCATACTGTGGAGCCATGCGGGTACCTATAGCAGTGCTGCTGGTTTGAAGGTATACATTGTCCCCAAATGTGAAATAGTTATGGGTGAGGACAAAGTCACAAAGTTCAGCCACCAGGTTTGCCGTGACATTATCGGGGATACTGTTCCTGATGGCTTGTACTCCATCTTTCTGTGGAATATTGGTGTAGAGGGCTTCTACATCCATAGCGGCCAGGATGGTGTTTTCCGATGGATTGTAGTTTCCTCAGGAAGTCAGTGGTGTCTCGAAGATAACTGGGAGTGCTGGTAGCGTAGGGCCTGAGGAGAGAGTCCACAGCCAGACAATCCTGCTGTCAGGGTGCCAATCCCTGAGATGATGGGGCGTCCAGGATTCCCAGGTTTACGGATCTTGGGAAGCAGATAGAATACCCCTGGTCGGGGTTCTAGGGGTTCTAGGTTCATGTGTCTGCACAGATCTGTTCCTGTGCTTTTTCAGGGAGTTTCTTGAGCAGATGGTGCAGTTTCTTTTGGTAATCCTCAGTGGGATCAGAGGATAATGGCCAGTAGAATGTGGAGTTAGAGAGCTGCCTAGCAGCCTCTTGTTCATATTCCAACTTATTCATGATGACGACAGCACCTCCTTTGTCAGCCTTTTTTATTATGATATCAAAGTTTTTCCTGAAGCTGTTGATGGCGTTGTGTTTAGCATGGCTGAAGTTATGGGCAAGTGATGCTAGTTTTCCACAATTTCAGCCCGTGCACATCGACGGAAGCAATCTATGGAGAAGTCCAGTCTGTTTCGACCTTCAGGAGGAGTCCACGCAGAATCCTTCTTTTTGTAGTGGTGGTAGGAAGGATTCTATGGGTTAGTATGTTGTTCAGAGGTGTGTTGGAAATATTCTTTGAGTCAGAGACGTCGAAAGTAGGATTCTAGGTCACCACAGAACTGTATCATGTTTGTGGGCCTGGAGGGACAAAAGGAGAGGCCCCAAGATAGGACAGACTCTTCTGCCGGGCTAAGAATATAGCTGGAAGGATTAACAATATTGTTGGGTGGGTTAAGGGAACTACTGTTGTGGCTCCTTGTGGAATGTAGCAGTTTAGATAGTTTAGTGTCCTTTTTCTTTTGTAGAAAAGCAAAGTTTGTGTTGTAAATGGCTTGTCTAGTTTTTGTAAAAACTATCCATGAGGAAGTTTGTGTGGAAGGTTGGTTTTTTATGAGAGTATCCAGTTTTGAGAGCTCATTCTTAATCTTTCCCTGTTTGCTGTATAGGATGTTGATCAGGTGGTTTTGCAGTTTCTTTGAGAGTGTGTGGCACAATCTCTCAGCATAGTCTGTGTGATATGTAGATTGTAATGGATTTTTTACCTTTAGTCCTGTTGATATGATGTCCATCTGTTTGCTTTTGGAAAGGAAGATGATGTTTCTCTGTATCTGTACAAGTTTTTTCATGAAGTTTATGGATTGTTGTTGTTTTTAAAAGACCTTCTAAGCACCATCCTCTGAATGTCCCTGTCCTTTTTTTGTGTCTGACCTTTCTGTATTTTTAGATTGTAAGCTCCCCTTGGGGCAAGACCTGTCTGTTGTCTTTTGTGTCTTGTTCCATACAAGCACGCTGTCAGCGCTTTACAGATAACTAATAATAGTATTTTCCAATGCTGCACACTAATGCAAAACACAGTTTCACTAAAATGTGAGCCTCCTGGTGCTGCAGAGTTAATGGAAGTAAATGATCTGAGTGTCAGAGCAGTGAAACCCCCGTCTCGGGATAAAAAAAAAAAAAAGAGTTGTGCAACAGATTCCTGACTATTTAACATGGAGCTTGACTGTGGTAAGACTGTGCTCTACAAAAGGACCTTTCGGGGTAAGGTTATAAAATGGGCTTTAGTTTCACATTGTAGGCCTCTGATTAGTGTGATGATGCACTCTGCAATCTTAGAAATCTTCAGTTTCAACACAGAGGGGTCTGTCAATACTTGGCTAGCTCAGCCTCCGCCTCTGGAGTATGTAGCTGAATATTAAGTTCCTGCAGTCTGTCTAACAAAAAGAAAAGATGCTGAAGGAGTTCATTCTCCTCTTGATATGCACACAATTCCTAATAGCATTCCTGGGAATAACAGGCATACATTGAGCCAAATCCTCCACTCCTTGGATAGGCAAAACTTGCTATCAGTTAATGGGAGTTTCATCTGATCTAAAGAACTCTCACTCAGTACTCTCACTGGGCCCTTAGACAGCTTCTGACAGAATCATATACAGCTTTGGAGTAGGGAGGTTTCCAGTGTTATATATGATATTTGATGTTACTGTCATTTTTGGCATAAGCAGCAAGTGCATCTCTTTCCAAGTGGTAATCCTGAGTCTGAGATTGGATCTCTAAATAATTTTGGAATACTGTATTAATTTGAAAATAGATAAATCTGTGCCTACATAGACACTCTTCCCTCATGTCTTTCAGCATGCACATCTCTGAAAGCCAACAGGAATTCTTCAGAATGCTAGATGAGAAAATTGAAAAGGTAAGAATCAAATAAATAAATGTTTTTGTGTGATAACTACAGAGTACAATATATGACTGACATACGGGCATCCTAGCCACATAGAAGGAGGAAATCAGCCACAGTATATTTAATATTCCATGCTTTACCAGTCCTAGATGATACATCAGTTTCAACTTAAAGCAGCCACTTGTTGGCATAAACCAGTATTGGGGGTTAGTTGTCTCAATGACGCTTTTGTGTGCAGGAGAGATGAGAAAGTGGCAGGGCAAGAGGTTACAGAGTGAGAACAGCGTGGGAAGGAAACCTAATTTTGGAAAGGTATCCAAACCCATCATGAATGGCAAATTAAAGTTAGCCCAAGCATTAAGGGAGGGCTTGGATCAATTAATAAACAGAATTGCAAAGCAGGTTTTTAAACCTCCTATGATTTTTATACCCTCTGGTATTGAAGTTTTGTTTCATCTTTTTTTGCAGGGGGGGATTTGAAATTTAATCCTACTGTCAGAATTATCAACCATCATTTACAGATTTTTCTTGAAATAATGCTGATAGTCTCAGTTTATTTATTGACGGGCCTTTTCAAATTAACCAGCCTTGCAAAAAGCCATGAATACAGACTGCAGATATGAGCATCTCTGCAACAGACCTGCACTGAATAGAGATAACAATACTAGAGATTTTTCAGAGCAGTGTAGGAGATTTAGGCACATTAATCCTCCTAGCCTGTTTTGCAAATCTCAAAGAATATTTTTATAGCAACTTTCATTTGAGAATCTCAGAGCACTTTACACACCTTTATTAACGAAACCTCACCGCATCCCTGTAATGTATTACTACTAGTAGGAAACTGAGGCATTAGAAGCTAAATGACTTATCCAGGACACTCAGCAGGTCAGTGACAAGTTTAGGAGCCAGAAGTCCTCTCTCCCTTTCCCCTGCTATAATCACTAGCTGATACTCTCTCATGAATGCGCATTTTAGGCTTAATTTGGGGTGAGGTGTATCATATAATATAATCTTTCTACTTTCAGAAGCCCGCTGAAACAGAATTAAGTATACTTAAAAATTGTGGTGATGTGTTAGAGAATGGGAGGGTACTGAATACAGCTCTCCAGACACCAGTTTTTGCTCTGCAACTTTTCATATATGGAAAACAGATTCTGTGAGTTTTTTACAAGAACTGGCATATTGGTTGATTGTGAGCTTCTGCCATTTCTGCCAGTGATCACAGTACTTTTGAAAACTGGCTACATGCCTAACTAAGCAAATCACATATTTGTCTCAGGCAACTAATGTGTTCTTTATTCCATGAAAAATCACATTTTATTTTGGTGAAAGGGAAAATTTAGAGGAACTGCAACTATTTCACTCTATGAGACACCAACAAATAGACCAGGGGTAGGCAACCAATGGCACGTGTGCCAAACGCAGCACATGAGCTGATTTTCAGTGGCACTCACACTGCCCGGGTCCTGGTCACCGGTCCCCAGGGCTCTGCATTTTAATTTAATCTTAAATGAAGCGTCTTAAACATTTTAAAAACCTTATTTACTTTACATACAACAATAGTTTAGTTATATACTATAGACTTATAGAAAGAGACCTTCTAAAAATGTTAAAATGTATTACTGGCACGTGAAACCTTAAATTAGAGTAAATAAATGAAGACTCGGCACACCACTTCTGAAAGGTTGCTGATCCCTGAAATAGACATTATTGTGTATTAAAGAGCCTTTTTTAAATTCTTAGAGCTGAATTGTTAATTTGGAAGGGGAAAAAAAGGTTTGGCCTTGAGAGAAGCAACATAAGGTACTTTCAGCTGAGTAGAATTAACTCTGTGCTCCCTTTACGCCAAATGATTCCACTGTGACAATTCTACACTTTTTTTTTTTTAATTTAGTTGGAGGATTATTTCCTTAAATGCAATAGTCCAGCCTGAAGTCTGGCTCTTTAATCTTCTGATTTGGAAAGATGACAGGTAAAGCGTTACACCAGAAAAGGTGCAATTTTTGTGACTGGACTATTTGACAGAAGAGTTCTCTGAACAAAGTAGTGTTTATAGGTTCATTATAAGTGCTTTATCATCTCAGTACTCTACTGTTTCCTGAATATTTAATCAAACAAGGAGCATGGTTTTATTTTAATCTGTGACATACCCCATCAAGGATTGAAAAATAAACTGTCCTGTTCATCCACATTGCAGCTGCTTCTAGCCCTGATAAGCATGTTGACCTAATAAATATTTAAACACGTATTGCTTGTAGTTTATGATCCTTCATAATATTAAAATTTGGCAGTTAAACAGTAGATACACCTTTTAAAATGTCCTTTACTACAGTATCTTCCCTACAGAGTGAACTCATTCCAATGAATTTGTCTGTGTGTGGGTTCATGTTGTTCTTCATTTGATGGATTTGTTTCAGGAGAACAATAGACACAATTCACCAGACAAAGAACTTAGAAGGGGGTTGTTGACTCTTTGTTCTCTCTGATGGGCAGAATCATCTTCTCATACCTTTATGGATGTCTCCAGTGCTCCTGATAGTAATTTATTATCCCAAGGGCCAGGAAATCATTTATAGGACAGAAGTTACAATTTTATTTGGTAAAACTGAATAAAGAAGATTCTCTCTTGCTTTTCAAACCAGTGACAACTCAAGAAGACTGGCAGGGATTACTGTACAGCGGAACCCTATATTTGTGTTTTTGAGGAGTTCATTGGTCTGAGGAAATGCTCTTTCAATTTTTACTCTTCTTTAAAAGACCTTTTGTTTTTAGTAAATATTTGTCAGAAATGTAGTTTTCTGAGTATCTGCCAACAATGCAAAATGGATGGGAAAATAAGATGATGGAAAAAAAAGATTGGTTTTGTTATATAGCACTTTCAGTCCATTTTAAAGGAAAATACAGGACAATAATAAAACATGCAATTAAAAGAAACTGAAAAAAATGTTATAAATCTGATTTGAAAAATACTGAGTGAATTACTTGACTATGTTTGAAGTGGACCAGCATGCCACGAAATTGAACTGGGAGGAGGCACTGGGATTGGCCCATAGGAGGGTTATGGTGGGCTATAATAATGGGGGTTGGCTCCCAATCATAGGAATCCCCAAACGCCCCCACCCTTTCACTCCTTCACTGAACACCTCTTTTTAAGTCCTTTTCCAAGCCATTTATCTGTCACTGTAAACCTTTTCTAGCCTGCTCTGTGCAAAAGGGAGGGCTAAGGCACAGGGCTGCCCCTTTTAAACCTCTCATTCCCAGGGGATGAGTCAGCGACCACGCTGACCGTTTTGCAGTAGCTGACTCCACCCCCACCCCCTTTTGCAGTAGCTGACTCCACCCCCGCTTAAAGGTGCAGGGCAGTCAGTCTTGTTACAAAATGCAGTGAAAGTTCCATCTCCACTACAAAACTAAGTCATGATGTAACTGCATCCCCAGAAACCCTTGTATTTGTAGTGGAGACAGGGATGGAGATTGGAATTATCTAAGACTGCTAATCGAACCTATAAAGTGAATAATTTTAAATAAGATAATACCTCTGAACTTAAATGTAAACCCCTAAGGCTGTTGGTCAGCTAATGCAGTTGAGTAAATAACCCAGATGTTATAATGTGAACACTATGAAGAATGGAGGAAGTTAAACATGTATTTTAAACTGCGTGGGGAGAAGAAAGAAGATGACAACTGAATGAGTAGGAAGACTGGTTAAAACAGTAATGCTGCAATCCAAACATGAAATTACAAGAGCAAGGACTGATGTTTTAACAGCTGAAAGTATGAAATATTTGTCAATCCCTGAGGTCAAACAAATGGCAGTGAGAGATAACTTAGAGAACCAGTATAAGATGGAATGTGGGAAGAGTCAATGTCAAAAAACCAATACCCAAGATCCTGGGGGAACACTAGGACAATAGAGCTATACTTGGTACTGGGACAGTAGAGCTGAATTAACTTCCACAAAATGTGACCCAAAGGTAGAGCACAGACTGTCATTCCCAACAACAAAAGTGTCTGTTGGAGCTCAGTGTAAAATATATATCTATATAATTTTAAAAAAACCCACCATTGTGAGGCATCCAGATGGAGACATCTGTTATTTCTCTGAGTATCTGTCCTTGGTAGAAAAGACTGAAGAGGAATCATAGAAATGGATATCAGTGTAGTTATGATGATGAAAACCATCTGACTCAGAACACCCGAGGAGTAAGTAAATATTAAATGAAGAAAGCAAAGGACCCAGTACTGAATTCTGAGTTATATCAACACATTTAGAGCATACCATCAAAAGCCTGAGCCATTTGTTGTGGCTGCATCCTGGGTCTCACTAGGTTCAATGGGAGTTTTGCCAGTAACTTCAGTGGCACCAGAATTTGGTCCTTGATTCAGAAAAAAATGAAAGGTATACAGTGGAAATCAAACAAGCATTAAGCCATGTGGAAACTTCAGGATGATCAGCACTGAAATAGTGTTGAATGATCCATAGTACTGGAAACAGTTTAACTGACAACAGATCATTAAGCAATTCTAGTGGTGCTTTTTTAGTAGAGCAGCAGAATGAAAAAAATCCCTCAGCTCATGCAGTTGAAGTTAATTTTAACTATTTAGTAAACAGAGTTCAGGGGATTCCATGACAATGGTTTCCCCTGCTGTGAGCATAGAAATCTAGAGAAAGCAATAGTGCCATGGGACTTGCTCAGCCCTGTGGTACTGCTGGTTGGACCACCGTAGAGCAGGTACACCAGATAGTGGCTTCAGTTCCTGCTTGATGCAAATACTAGATACATAAAGTAGCCAGTGAGGAAGAACAGTAAGGGGAATAGGGAGTCGGCAGATGCAGAAAAGCAAGGCCTGAGAGAAGGTTGGGTCAGAAATACTCCTACTGGCTGCTAGTAGCTGCAGTCCCTGTCTCATGAAATTTTCATGCTGGCATGGAACTACTGTGAATGTAGTCACAGGCTTTAAATATGACACACACATACAAGGAGTTCAAAAACAAAGGGAAGAAGTGAGAG